AACAACAACAACAACAACAAAAACTATTAAGAATTATTGAACCGAAAATTCATAAATGCATTGCAAGCGCTAAACAAGATTTTCGTATATTCTGTGAGGCCAAGCAGATGCTGCATTCCAAATAAGTACATTAAATATATAATAGATATGTATATTGTAAATAGCTGTTCGCATGTTCTACATTTTACTTACACGATATCAATTCACTCCCTCGTGGCAGCAATAACAACAAAAGAATTTATTCGGCTGTCCGTCCAAATACAAATCCGAGCCAAAGGCATGGGCCAGCATACAGCATACGTGGCGTTGATATTTTTAACTCTACGTATTCTTCTTTATTTTGTATTTTTTTTTTTTAATTTTTATGTGAACTGATGATTTCTTTTTGATTTTTCGCTAGCTAAGAAATTGATTTTTCTTCACTGTAATATTATAAAATAACAATTGTTTTGCAATTGGAACAAAACCACAAAATATATGAATAATTATTGAATTATTCTTAATGCTTGCCAAGATATTTTATATATGTGATTATGACAGCGCACTGCGTATGCTTAGTATAAATATATTACATCTATATATACATATAGATCACTGCTTTATGAAACACTTGAAACTTTTTTGATCGATTTTATAGTATTGCTCAGTTTAGTATTAAATTTCGTATTGATTTACCAAAATATGACTCAATTTTTTGATTTGGAAAATCCCGTTTAACATAATAATATATATTTTTTCTATTTTTCTTTTCACTTCACCCGCACCGAGCACATAATTTTTGTGTGTGTAGCTTAAAAATAAATCTGAACACACACACGGGCGCGTTGCGCGGCAGTTGGGAGAACGCGAATGCGTCGAGCCAACAGACCAAATAACGCCAACGATCAGCCGAGAACTGTCAGTTGATGGGGCGAGATCGTTTCGTTGCTCCTCTTTTAGTATTTTGTTAGTATTTATTTGGAATATGCTGAAAATGCGTATTATTTAGGGAATTTGTGGAAATGTTTTGGTTAAGAAGTTGTTGGTGCTGGCTTGTAAATGTTCGTCTATTAAATATTATTTTTATTTGAATGCCATTGTATAAGCTAAGGAGTTTACTGTGAAATGTCATTGAATGACTATCGATCTATTTTTTCTCTCTCTCTCTCTCTTTATATTCCTCTGCTTTTCCGCGTCTCTAGCTTCCTTGATTCCCTTGAGTGAAATTAAATCCAGGAATATTTATATTTTAGCGTAAATCTAGATAAATCGACCAGCTTAGGTCATGCCAATAAATCATTCAGCTAGCGATTTTTCATAAGCCTTTCCCATTCCTAGGGTCTGTCTCTCTCACTCTCGCTGGATGTTTTCTGTTTCCATTTCATCGACATTTGTATAGTATATATTTATTATATATTTTTATTATTATTATATTATGTTCCATACTCATTTTCCCTCTTCTACTTTTCCAATTTCTTATTTGATTTTATTTCATATTCGTTTATTTTATTTTTTTTTCAGCCAGAAACAATTTCCTTTATATAAAACTTTTATAGTCCCAAATATAAGCTGTTTAGGTTTATAATAATATATTATTGATTATGTTGATAAAAATCGTAGCCAAGTAAATGAAATAAGATTTATATCTAAAGCAAAAAAGAGTATATACATATATCTCTTTCTCTCTCTGTCTCTATCTCTCATTTTGTATTCAGCTTTCATAAGCACAAAACAGCTTTTAGCACATAACAGAACACGAACGCTATGGGATGCCTTAAAAGCTTTTCGCTCGCTAAGCTTTTTTAATCGGAACCTAACCTATCCCTTAATTTTTAGTGCTTCCATTGCAGAGGTCTATGATACTATTAAGCTATTACATTATTAAATAATTAATAGACTTAACTAGCTTACATTGATATTAAGCACCATTAATATATTAAGTAAAGTCTTTGGGCCGCTACCTAAGGTTGGCGTTAATTAATTTAATGAACAGCCACACACATACATATGTTTATATGCATGTGTGTGTGTTTGTATATTTGTGCATATGTTTTTTGGGCGACTATAATAATAATCATATTTTCATATACCTGTCTTCCGATTGCCTGGGGGCTGCCTGTTTAAATCTGTGTAGCATGCACAAAAAACTTTCATAATTACCAACTAAAACAACAACAGCGCAGCAAAATCTAAATGGCAAGACAGAGAGACAATGGGAGAGGAGGAGAGTGAGAGAGAGACCTCACATAAACATATAAAAACAATATTTATGTATGATTTTGTCGGTAGAATGCCGACCCGAAGCCAGACCAACTTTTGTCTGTCGCTCTGCGAGACTGTCTCTGCCTCTCTGTATAGGTGTGTGTGCGTGGAGCATATTTACAGGAGTTGAACTTGTAAGCAGCACCAGGCAACAGCAACAACAACAACAAGCAGGCAGTCAGGCAGCCAGGCAAACAAACAAACAAACAACAACAATAAATGGGGCCAACAGGAAACGACTCACAGATTGTCTTTGTGCCGCCGACAAGCCACTTGGCATCTGGTTGCATATAATTATGCACATGTTAATGATATAGCAAAAAACAAGCATAAAGATGAACTCTCAAATAAGATACAGCGAAATGTGAATACTCTTAGGTAATTGTTACATAACCTATAAAAGGTTCCTTGTAAAGTTAAATAGAGAATGGTTAGGTATTGCTTGAACAATAGATCATCTGTTACTGTGTAGCTTTTTGTCCTATGATTCATGTCAATTAGTTGTGAAATTATTTGATTTGCTGATTCGATAAAGTTAAAGGTGTAGAAAGTCTTTAATAAACATTAAAATAATATAAACAAAATGTATGTATGTTTTTATATATTTATATAAAATTTTTAAATTAAATAAAATATTTGTATAATATTCAAATAATGTATATAAATATACTACTATTTATATTTAAT